AAAATGACAAAGGACATCGCAAGCAAAACGGAAAAGCTAACTGTCCAGATTGATGAACTTGTTTCAGGAGAGTTCTCATTTCAGCTGCTGTAAGGGAATGGAGCCGCCGCATCACGTCGATAAGTGTTTCCGCTTCTATACCTTTCGGAGGTTCTTCATATTCTACGCGTTTCAAAACGTTTTCAGGTGGCATTGTAGTTCGAATAACAGCTGAAATAGCCTGGCAAGTTGCTACTATATGTCGATATCTCAGATACAGGCTTCACTCTAGTTTTCCTACTAAAAAATCTTTGGAAAAAGTTTGAGTTGATTTATGACTTCTGCTTCTGCTTGAAAGTTTCTGCATTTCTTTGCAATTCTCATATGCGCTCCTACTGTGTAACCGAGGATTTAAATAACCACAAATATCCTTACAGTAAATGAGGATCTTTGTATAGTTAAGATGAAATGCAGAATTTAGGCTGCAACCAGTCTCTTTTTGGCCGTTGAGACTTTATGAATGAACAGGTGGCAAAGAGGAGGTCATCTTATTTCCAAAGTCTGACATGCGAGATCGTCTAGGCAGTGGACACACGGCCAAATCTGCTTTTCAATACATCCACGCTATTAGAGTATCCCATCATTCATACAAAAATAGGCTTACCGCTTCCGTCTGGATTGTATGCCGTAGTCCCTTCGGCTTTTCGCTTTTTCTCAAGTTCATCAGAGATATTCAACAACTTCTGATAATACTCTGCAAGCTCATTTGGCGAAGACTCCACCACGTCACAGCACATATTAAACTGAAATAATAGCTTGAGAACATCTTACACTACTGATAGGCGTGATGAATGAGGGTATACAAAACAATGCTTGATAGACTGGATTAATCATGATTGATGAAAAGGTGATGCCCAATGTAAAATTAGTCAATTTTCCTAACTACGAGCACGAGCGGCATGATCGTTTTGAGCCACTACGGCTAGGAACTTCCTTCTCATTGACTGTGAAGTGCGACTTCAGTGATTTAGCTAGGCTTCACGACGCGCTGCAGCCATATATGGT